CTGAGGGATATGGTGTAGGGGAGGACTTTGTAGAGTAGGGGAGATGGTTGGACTCGATGATCCCAAGGGTCTCTTCCAACCTCAATGATTCTATGACTGGATTAGCTGGTCACTGCTGGTGGAATGTGCTAAGACAATGTGTTTTAGAATACTCAGGCTCCTCCATTCTGTTCCAAAGCAACCCAAGTCCTGCTGTGGCATTTCTGCATTCTGCAGAACCAGCTTCCCAGTGTGCTCAGTATATTCCACTACTGATGAGGAACAATTGCTACTTAAGCTTTTGTGGTTTTGAGCAAGTGTTTTGTTGCGGAGATTAAATTTGAGCATGACTTGAATGATTATTTGCATCACCGCAGCGGTCAAAACATGTTTGCCTCGTATCCTAGTTCCCATATTAATGACGATTTTGAATTGGTTTTATAAAATCAACTGGTTTTCTGGCTGTTACAGAACACTTTTGGACAACTGATTATTTGCCTTTTCTATAAATCTGTTCCCCTGTTTCAAGAGAAGTTATTCCAGGCCACTTTTATACGTTGTCACAGCTCAGCAGCCAACAACAGAGGGCTGCTGATTGAAAAATTTTGGGTGTTCAGCATTACTAGCCCTTAGCTCAGCGGTGTTGCTTCACACAGGTAGTTTTGTCAAGATGCAGGGAATCTTGTCTTCTCAGTTTTGTTGAATTGCTAATAGAGTGGAACGTGAGTGCCTGGAACCTCTCTGCCTCTGACACAAAATGACACAAACGAGATTATTAGTGAAACCTCCCAGATGCCCTTGAGATTCGATTGATATTCTTCTGATTTGGAAAGCAGTTGTGGGGAGGGAAAAAGACACAAAAAAACCTAAGTTGCCGAGACATAGTTATTTTAGTTTGCACTAAATAGAGGAGGAAAAAAAGAGCCCAACAATAAAACAGAACAAACATATCTTTAAGCTAAGTACTGCAAGATTTTCACTTCTATGGAATGTACTTATAAATAATTAAGGCCTTATTGCAATGTAATGCCACTAATATGATGAAGAATATTTGCTGCCTCTCTTTCCCTGGACCTGGTTAATTGGACTTCCTCAGACTATATCTAAACTGTAGGCCCTGAGAACACTTTCCCAATTCAAGTGTGTGCTCAGTTATAAGCAGATTGCTTAATTTGATAACCCTAAATATGTGCCTGATAAACCTAACCATATAGTGCAGTGCCCCATGGACTGTGGCTTTTATAGGAAGAAAATTCAGGTACATAAACAGGAACAAAGAAATGATGCATTCCAACTCTTTTTTTTGTGTCTGGACAGTCAAGGGATCATAACTATGAACAGCTCAGTGGTTTAGGCACTGCTCCAGAGTCCACTTCTTCGTGGATCTTATGAAAACCCAGCTGTCAGAAAGTCACTTAAAAAAGATTGATGGAAAATATATCTATTCTTTAATTGAAGGTGTGCCATGGCCTTCTGTCTGTACTATAGGTCCACCCGTAGGATAAGATTTTTTTCAAAATTCTAGGTAACCTTGTCCTAGGTAACCTGATATGACCTTGTCAATGCATGACTTGGCTGTTTTAGAAAGTATGTGAGCCATAAATTGAGAAAACCATTATGAGATGATCATATTGAAGTAATTTTACCTAAGAATATAGGTAATTTTATTTTTAATTTTTTTACTGGTTTACTTAGGTAATATACTTTATAATCCACTAACTTTGTTATCCCTCCCACCTTGCTATTTAAGTAGGTGGGGGGAACAAAATGGGAGAAAAACACCTTTCTTTTAAAAACGTATCTGCAGAAAATGACCACGCTGAAACTAATGTCAAATGAACAACGTTGATAAAATTGGTATAAAAGACCTTTTTTCCTGATCTTTGGTTACGTCTGACAATAGTCCACAGCATCCAGAAGTGTGTGATTTCTAAACAGGTACCTTTAGAATTCTGATCTGTTTGAAAACTAGAATCATCTAGACTCTTGAGAGAGTGGAATGTGTGGGGTGTTTTGGGTCTGTCGCCTCTAGCAGTGCTTTCGTAGTGACTTCATTTGATTGCACAGATGTTTGCAATGCTGTATTGTGTGTTCTCTGTAGGAAGAAAGCTCAACTCAAGAAGAAGAGAGGTGTCCCAACTATTAATGAACAGATGTTATTTCACGGCACGAGTAATGAATTTGTAGAAGCAATATGTATTCATAACTTTGACTGGAGAATAAATGGGATGCATGCTGCTGTATATGGAAAAGGTAAGTATTTTTGTCACGTAAAACAGTTTAGTAATCTTAACAGTTCAAAGTTATTAAGGGTTCCCTATTGTATGTTCTTTGTGATGTGCTCCCTGTGTTTATCTAAGAGCTCTTTAATATAGCTCTGCTTATACGTCAAGTGTAATTAAGAAAGTTAGGATGCAGTAAGTAATGTAACTGGCTGATGGGACCAGGGAACGTGGGGAAGGGATGCCCAGCAAAGCAGTGTTTATCAGAAGACAATCTCCCTACTAAAATGTTCCCACTAAAAATTTGATTATGTTACTATAATCTAACAATTTAGAGGGAAAAAAAATAAAAATTGGATTCCTAGTGAACGTAACAGAACAGACATCTTTCATCCTGATACCTATGTTCATGCTGTCGTAGTTAAGCTGTCATGATAAGAATGTCATCAGATTATATTTTTTTTTTGTATTTGAAAGGGACCTATTTTGCAAGAGATGCATCATATTCCAGTCGTTTCTGCAAAGATGACATGAAACACGGAGATACTTTTCAAATTCATGGTGTGAATCTGCAGCCTCATCTGCATAGACCAGATAAAGTCATGTTTCTTGCTCGTGTATTAACTGGTGACTATATCAACGGTGATTCCAAATACATGAGGCCTCCTTCAAAAGATGGAAGTTTTGTGAACTTATATGACAGCTGCGTGGATAATACCTGGAACCCAAAGATCTTTGTTATCTTTGATGCTAACCAAATTTACCCTGAGTACTTAATAGAATTTTGTTAAGTTTGAAAGGAGTTGAACTGAATATTGTTTGTGTCTTTTTGATACTTTTGTTCCTTTTGTAAAGAGAACAACATAAAACCGAGAAGTGTGAAGTGAGAGGGGTGGAAGAAAAGCTAGCATATGTTTGTGGAGGAGGGAAGCTATTAAACATTTAAGAGAGATTGTCAAACTGTTTTTTAAAATCTGTAAACTTTACTAATGGCATTTTTCAAACGTAGAGACTATTACAAATTTGAAATTCCTTAATGAGCCTTAAATACATTGGTCATTGGTAAGTTGTCAAAGTCAGGATTTATGTTCTGTGGTTTTGTTTTCTTTTTTTGTATATGACGTATTTATTCATGTGGTAGAAATATGCCTGTAGCATAGTATGCATATGATGAAACTAATCTTTTATAAAGATTGTCCGTAGAACATAAAAATAACAAAAACAACAACAAAACCCCAGGCTACATACCTGTGTGTGTCTGTGTTCTGTGGCGTGTCATTGCTTTGTGTTGGGAGGTCTCTTAGTTTGGGTTCTAAACCTAAACCAAAGAAAATCCATCTGGAGAAAACTGATGAAGGAGCTATAAAGTTCACTAAAGCTGTTATGTTTAACTTTAGGTACATTTTTACTGTAAGCTTCAGTTATATACTTGCAAAGATTTAACCCTATACTTGCAAGATTAGAGAACTCTTGCACTAGGATTTGAACTTTGGTTTTGATGGAAATGATGCTCTTGTGGCTGTTAACTGTTCAGTATGGAACTGTTGAGCCCGCTGCTCAGCTGCAGTGCCATGGACCTTTCTGAGTTGTTATTCTGTAGGATTTTGGCCCTACTGTTACTGTTGGCTTGCGCACACGCTTACGTTGGTGGAGCTGTGCTGCTGTCCTTCTTGCCTGGTCAGGGTTGAAGAAGCAGCACTCGGTGCTCGTGTACTGGCTGTTACTGAAGACATTGTTCAGATTATCTTTACTGGAAATAATACAGTTAAACTAAGAATGAAAATTTCAAAAGATGCCATCCTTTGTTTTTTAAGCATTTCAATAGAAAGTTTTCAGTAACACCTGAGTAGCTCAGGTTTTCATAACTGGTATAGTTGTAACGTTAGAGAGTATTTTTCACAGGTAGAAGGAGCAAAAGGGACAATAGAATCACAGAATCACATGGAGTTGGAAGCGACCTTGGAGATCACCCAGTCCAACCCCCCTGCCAAAGTGGGTCCACCCAGAGCAGGTTGCACAGGAACGTGTCCAGGTGGGTTGTGAATATCTCCAGAGGAGACTCCACCACCTCTCTGGGCAGCCTGTTCCAGGGCTCTGCCACCCTCAAAGTAAAGAAGTTCCTCCTCATGTTTAGGTGGAACTTCTTATACTCAAGTTTGTGCCCAGTTCCTCTTGTCCTGTCACTGGGCACCACTGAGAAAAAACCAGCCCCGTCCTCCTGACACCCTCCCTTTAAGTATTTATAGGTGTGGAGCAGATTTCACCTAATGCTACTTTGAAAAGACCCAAGTCCCTCAGCCTCTCCTCATGAGAGGCTCCAGGCCCCTCATCATCTTTGTAGCCCTCGGGTGTCCCCTCTCCAGCAGTTCCCTGTCCTTCTGGAACTGAGGAGCCCAGAACTGGCCCCAGTGCTCCAGATGGGGCCTCCCCAGGGCAAAGTAGAGGGGGAGAAGAACCTTCCTCCACCTGCTGGTCACACTCTTCCTGATGCCCCCCAGGGTGCCATTGGCCTTCTTGGCCACAAGGGCACATTGCTGGCTCATGGTCACCCTATTGTCCACCAGGACTCCCAGGTCTTCCTCCTCAGAGCTGCTCTCCAGCAGGTCAGTCCCCAACCTGTCCTGGTGCAGGGGGTTACTCCTCCCCAGGTGCAGCACCCTACACTTGCCCTTGTTGAAGTTCATCAGGTTCCTCTTTGCCCAACTCCCCAGCCTGTCCAGGTCTCACTCTATGGTGGCACAGCCTTCTGGGGTGTCAGCCACCCCTCCCAGTTTTGTGTCATCAGCAAACTTGCTGAGGGTACATTCCATCCCTTCATCCAGGTCACTGATGAATATATTGGAAGAGGACTGGAATATTTGGGACAGTATTTGGGTAAAGAGTGAAGTTGAGTACCTAAATACCTGAAGAGCCTGAAGAAGGGGCTGTTACGATGAAATGCACTGCAATCTTAAACAATTTCCTACAAAATCATGCCCTTAGGTCTTTTTCTTTGTTAAAGGACCTACGGAGCACTGAGTCTAAGTGGAAGCCTTTGAGGCTGCTGCTTTGGCTATGACCAGTAACAAACCCTTGTAGAAACAGTATATAATTATGGCAGATGCAGAATCATCTGCGTTGGTCTGTCATTAAATTGTTAATGGACTTTTTGGAAAAAAAGGCTATATTTAAAATCTGTTTTATTTAAAAGGCACTGCAACTGGCATGACTGTCCGCTCAAAATCACACGGAACCTGTGGAACTGGAAGCAGAAGGTGACTACGTATCTGGCATCATAACTGGAGACACAATCATCGCTTCCTTCTCCTTGGTGCTGTTATCTTTGCCTGTCAATGAATCCTGCACACGTTTGGTATCTCTTTGTAGTTATAATTTCATGGCAGCTTTTCCCTTTCCTTCTGTTCCTAAACCATTTAGTGCGAAGATGCATTTCCCTTTAGTTTAGTGCACCAGGAAGCCTGATCCCAGTTGGGAACCCTTGGTTCTACTGTTGTAGGGGTGATTTGTGTTTGATTCACTCCTCTGGTAGTGGTGCAAAAGGCACATCGTTCCCCACTTTGTATAAAATATTTAATAGCAAATCATACAGGGAATTTATGTTTTACTGACTCCTTTCTGTTCTTATTCTACAGAACATACATTTATGAGACTAACAGATATGCGTGCTGTTCCTTTGATTTGGTCTTTTATTTCTCCTGAGGCCTGAACTGATTTTTTTAGTTAAGAAAAATTAAATTTCTTTTTTAGTGTCTCATGGACACAAAATACCATAACCTACACTGATCTTTGTGACTTTTCAAATTGTTAGTGTGGCAGTGTCTTGTTTATGACTTAACTCTCTTAAATCAAATGGCAGAATCTTAATCTTGCCAAATTACTGCACAACTGTAGTTTCAGCTCTTCTTTTAAAGCACTGTCCTGCTCTCTGGTGTCCATTTTTGGGCTGATGAATCTTCATACTGAAGGTATCTGTAAAGTAGCCACCCTTTTGCGGGCAAGGGGAGAGAGGTTATTATTGTAAATGAAGTCCAGAACTCTGCGAGTGGCCAATACAAGAAATACTTGGATTTAATAATAGAACTGTGAGAAAGGAAGGGAGGAAAATAATTCCTTGGACTATGGAGCATTAAAGAAGCAAAAAGGATTTGGTCTGATTCTGGGGAAGGACACCTGCTGTCTTCTGTTACCTGTGCAAGAGAGCGTGTCGTTCCTGTGTGTGTCTTCATCTGAGGTAAAGCTTTCTTATTGAATTTTTCTTATGGCAGAATGTTTCCTCATGAGCACAACACTTCAGTATGAACTCATCTTGTTTCTATATCATACTGGCATCTTATGCTGGTTTTGCTTTGTAGAATGGGTGTGTGCTCAGTTATTGCCCAACAGATCTCATTTCACCCAAAGCAGTTTAGCAGAGTGTCTGTCTCCATTCCAGTTCATTTACAGGGGCAGTTTGTACAAACCTTTGGTTTTAGGTTAAAATCTGCAGAAATGATTCAGCTTTATTTTTTTAACAATGTCCCAGTAGCCTCACATCCGAGTGAAACGTGAGATACGTAATGGACCAGCTGGTGTTAGCGATTTCAATTCTGGGAGTACTTCGGATGCTAATCCAGCTTGTGGTTTGTCGACTCTTGATCTTTTTTAAACCATTATCGAGATCAGAGCAGGAAGGCTAAAGATATTTTGTGCACTCTACACAGGTGGGGGTTACCTTCAGGAGGAAGACTCCTGGCCTGTATCAGGAACAGCATGGCAAGTAGGGCCCGAGAGGTGATGGTCCCCCTGTACTGGGCACTGGTGAGGCCTCACCTCAAGTACTGTGTCCAGTTTTGGGCCCCCTACCATAAAAAAGACATCCAGGTACTGGAGTGGGTCCAGAGAAGAGCAACAAAGATGGTGAGGGGTCTGGAGCACAAGTCTTATGAGGAGAGGCTGAGGGAGCTGGGGTTGTTCAGCCTGGAGAAGAGGAGGCTGAGGGGAGACCTTATTGCTCTCTACAACTCCCTGAAAGGAGGGTGTAGAGAGGTGGGGGTCGGTCTCTTCTCCCAAGTCACAGGCGACAGGACGAGAGGAAATGGCCTCAAGTTGTGCCAGGGGAGGTTCAGGCTGGATATTAGGAAAAAATTTTTCACGGAAAGGGTTATCAGGCATTGGAATGGGCTGCCCAGGGAGGTGGTTGAGGCACCATCCCTGGAGGTGTTCAAAAGACGGGTTGATGTGGTGCTGGAAGATATGGTTTAGTGATGGTGATGCTTTTTGTTTGTTGTGTGGGTGTTTATTTTTGTCAAAATTAGGTTGACAGTTGGACAAGGTGATCTTTAAGGTCCCTTCCAACCTAGAAGATTCTGTGATTCCGTGATTCGTCAGTAATTGGTGTGATTCTCAGCAGCCTGTACAGACTCTACATCTTATGAGCATGTCAGTCTTAAAATTCTTTTCACCTATATGTCCATCGGTGTTGTAAGGAAGACTATTGTTAGACACTGTCCCAAACAGCAGACTCTGAGAACCACATTGGTCTTCTCTTGTATAGCCATCTACTCTGGAAAAGTCACCAAAAAATTGTGGGGACTGACACATTCTATCACAGAATGGTAGGGGTTGGAGATCATCTAGTCCAATCCCCCTGCCAAAGCAGGTTCACCTAGAGCAGACTGGACAGGAGTGCATCCAGGAAGGTTTTAAATTATCTCCAGAGAAGGAGACTCTTCTCTGGGCACCTTGAATATCTCCAGAGAAGGAGACTCCTCTCAGGGCACTTGGCTCCACTGCTCTGCCACCCTCAAAGAATTTTTTCTGCGTGGTCAGATGGAACTTTCTGTGTTCCAGCCCCTTCCAACCTAGAAGATTCTGTGATTCTGTGACTCGTCAGTAATTGGTGTGATTCTCATCGGCCATAAGACTCTACGTCTTATGAGCATGTCAGTCTTAACATTCTTTTCACATATATGTCCATTGGTGTTGTAAGGAAGACTATTATTAGTCCAAAACAGCAGACTCTGAGAACCACATTGGTCTTCTCTTGTATAGCCATCTACTCTTGAAAAGTCACCAAAAAATTGTGGGGACTGACACATTCTATCACAGAATGGTAGGGGTTGGAAGGGACCTTTGGAGATGATCTAGTCCAATCCCCCTACCAAAGCAGGTTCACCTACAGCAGGCTGGACAGGAGCCCATCCAGGTGGGTTTTGAATATCTCCAGAGAAGGAGACTCCTCTCAGGGCACTTGGCTCCACTGCTCTGC